AGTTTATTTTTTAGGAATTATATTTAGAAGTTGTTTTTTCCTTTTTTATTTTGCTTTCTAGAACTAGACTGTGACTTCCTTAACAATAAATATGTATTCTTTTTACCCTTTGTGTAAGAGTTTCATATATACATATACATGTTGTGACTGGGAGGTTTGAGCCTGCTGTGCACTTTGAGTCTGATGTGTCAGACGACACAGGTTCGAGTGATGAGGAGGGTTTGGCATTGGAATTTGAACCTGCTTTAATGGGAGATGCAGACGTGAGCCAGGAGGATGAGGAAGTGTCGGAATCACCTTCCTCTCCAGAACCTTCCACATCAATTATGCCTCAGGTGTCAGCAGCTGATCCACAGAATGTGCCAGAGTCTTTGAGTGATGATCAAACGGATGAATGTTGGGTTGATGCAAGGACTAGACGTAGGCTGAGACGTCAAGCACAATTTGAAAAGAAACGTCAAATCAGAGACTAATTAGAGAGACTGACACGCCCCTTCAAGGAATATAAGGAGGCGTGTTAGCTAGAGATCCTTGTTCGGGTCAAACTTCGTTAATTACGTTCGCAGCTTGGGAGAAGCCTTCTGTTTATCTTTCGGCTCTGATTTATCGTGTGACTCCTTATCTGGGTTTGAAGACAGTTTGTGGGAAAGCTGCCAACGACGACTACAGAGGAAAGTTAATTCTGTTGTTTCCTGATTTTGTCTGTTCGTGTTTATTCCTTTGGGACATTTGGACTCGCACCTTGTGGCTACAGGTGAGACAGAACATATACATATACATATACATATACATATACATATACATATACATATACATATATATCTCTCTCTATATCTCTCTCTCTATATATATATCTTTGGTCATTCGGGTTTTCTCCCGCGTAAAATTGGAAGTATCTAGGCAACGTTTCGATGAAGTCTCATTCATCATCTTCAGGCTTGTGTCTTCGGCTTTGTGCTTCTCGGAGTAATGTGAGCTTGCAGCTTCTTCTTCCTTTTAACTGCTAGTGGGGGTGTGACTTGATTGGGTGGGGGCTTGGCTGTGTTCTGATTGGCTGGGGGTGTGTTCTCATTGGTTAGGGGTTTGGCTGTGTTCTGATTGGCTGGGGGTGTGTTCTGTTCAGGTGGGGGCTTGGTTGTGCTCAGGTTAGTCTTAGTTGCTGGGGGATTTGAGCTGGTGAGCTGTGATCCTGTTGTTTGGCTTCACGTTCGTGGTTGTGCCACATCTTCATGGTGGGCGTCAGTTCGCTTCATGTATGGGCCGGAGGGGTTTGAAGCAGGTAGTGATGCAGCTGCGGTACGGCTTCTGGTCCATGATGAGACACGACCACGGACCACAAATCTTTGTTTAACTGATCCAATTGGAATCTCTTTCTGTGGAGCTCGTTCCTGAGTAGAGCCATTTCAGTTCTTTTCAGGATACGTTTAGTAGCTGCTGTGCTGTGATGAAATGTTAATTTGAAGAAGGTTAGTGTTGCATTGTTGTCTCTGCAGCTGCGTAGGAATTTGAGGTCACATAGTATTCCTGCTCTTTTAACTTCCAGCTTCTCATAGGTTTTGGTCTGGTTGTTTATTCCCTCTGTGTAGAAGTCTGATATTTGTTTTCTTAAGTTTTCGTGGGTATTTATATGTATGGTATTCAGCTTTGTTGGGGTATTTTCCCACGTCATTATAGTTGTGCTTTTAAAGTTGTAGCAACATTTCGGCAGAATCTCATCTGCCATCATCAGGCTTCTGTATTGTGTTTGTCTATGAGTCAGACTTTCACAGCCGTTTCAGTTTTAAATTTGGGGCTAGCCTACCGCTGTGCCAGAATGGTTTTTTTCTTCATCCTGATTGGTTGGGAGTCTTGGTCTGTGTTTATTGGTCTTGGAGTTTGCTGTGTTCTCTGTTGATTGGTGTTTCTAATATCTTCTGACTGTTTTGTGGCTGTTTTTGTCTTGATTGGCTGGCAACATTGTGTTTCCTGTATTGGAGGCTTTTAGTGTGGCTTGGCTCCGAGTAAATGGACAGCTATCATTTATCAGGAAGCTAGGTTTCATCTGGGTGCCTGGTTGGGGTGTGTTTGAGCTGGAGGTATCAGGGGGGATCTGTTTGTGCCCAGGTGTTTGCAGAGGTGGTATTCAGCAGGTCCTGACCAGTTCTGGAGAACCAGTAGCAGAAATTTTGAGTAGTTCAGAGAACCAGCAAATCCCAACTCTGACTGGCCCCGCCAACCCCATCTATTCTCCGCCTCACGAGTCCCAGTTGATTGGCTGGGTCTTCTTTGGTTGCCCTGCACAGGACAACAGAGCTGGAAAGCAGGTTAGTGGGGTGGGGAGGGAATGGGGATTTTGCAGTGTCCTTCCCCTGCCACGCCCACAGAACCCAAAATTTTTGAATCCTACCACTGAGCATTTGTTAAGAGAGTTTCTCTCCTCTTACAACTTTTCTCGCTACATTTGTTAAGTGAATCCCTGCCGTTGTTCAATTAGGAACACATCTGTTAAGCGAATCCAGTTTCCTTGAGGACACTGCTTGTCAGAAGGTCGCAAATGGGGATCACATGATCCTGGGGACACTGTCACCGTCGTAAATGTGAATCAGTCACCGAGCCTCCGAATGTCAATCATGTGACCCTGAGGATGCCGAAATGGTCATAAGTGTGAAAAAGGGTCATAATTCATTTTTTTTCAGTGCCGTTGTAACTTCCAACGGTCACTAAGTGAACTGTTGTAAGTCGAGGACTGCCTGTACTAGGTAAACAACTGCAGCAATTTGGTTAACAATGGTGGCAAGAAAGGTCATACATGTGAGTCACTTTCCAAGTGTCTGAATTTCAATCACGTGACCCTCAGGGTGCCACCAAGGTTGTAAGTGTGAAAAACAGTCACAAGTCCCTTTTTTCAGTGTTGTTGTAACTGCAAACGGTCACTAAATGAACTATTGTAAGCCGAGGACTACCTGTATCTGAAAAAACAGGTCAGGGAAATTTAATTTTAAAAAATCTTTGAAATAGTGAATAGTGGGGGGGGGGGGAGTTCCTGTCACAGGGAAGTTAGTGTGGGTAGACCTCCCCCAGAAGAATGAAATATTTTGGGGCAGAATATATGTTATTATAATATTATAAAAATGGAGAAGCGTGTTTTTAGAGGCAGAAAGCAGCTCCCTGTCTTTCTTAATAACCCATAACGGATGCCAGCACTTAAGGAGATAATGAGCTTATTGAAAAAGGAAGCCCGCTATCTAGAAAGCAAATACTGCCGGCGGAAGTCCATTCAAGACAGCATGTTTCAAACCCGCTTTACAGCAATTTTGATAGTTAACAAAAGCAAGAGTGATAGGATTAGAGCAAGCAGCCCTTCACCCCCCAAAAATCTAACACAGACATAACCATCAGCCACAATAAGAATTACCCACCACCGTTTTAGCACAATTCACAAAAGCCCCTTCACTGCACAATCCCCAGAACAGTCCAAACTTCAAAGACACAGAAACCTATTAAGATTCATCCACTGATTCAACCGTTTGGTCAGCTGCCCCCAAACCACAAACCCTTGTGGTTCTGCTCATTTATAAACTTTCTTTCCAGTCAGCCTCCATGTTGTTTCCAGGGTCTTTCTCCCAGCTTGGAACTGAACACGATGAATTTTCCTTCCAACATTAGTCTGTAGAGATTCTCAATCCTCCAGGTCATGGTTGTCCCAAAGGTGCTTTTTCAGGAGGCAACTGGACTTTCTTGTTTTCTCTTTTGAAGAAGTTTTGCTTCTCATCCAAGAAGCTTCTTCAGATCTGACAGGAGAGTGGGGAATGGAAGGTTTTGGGAGCTTCATCCCAGGAAGCTTTCAAGAGGAGACCGCAATGCCATCTGTCAGAAATGGTGTAGGGTCTCCTGCTTGGGTGGGGTGTGGGGGTTGGACCCTTCCAACTCTGTTAATCTGTTATTATTCTGTTATATTCCTTGCAGACAGCTGGTCATTTGCATCCTTTTAGAGGGTAGTTGAAGCACTCCGAGGTTTATCTGTATCCTCAGGGCCACCTGAGTAGTGCAAATAGTTCCTGTAGTCTGCAATTGTTTTCTTCTGGAAATCCATTCCTACTCCCACAGCATTCCAAGGGTGTTCATCCCAAATTGTATAACTAAAAGTCTGTAGAGCAGAGGCCTCCAGCATAGCTGGCTGGAGAATTCTGGGAGTTGAAGTCCACAAGTCTTAAAGTTGCCAAGTTTGGGGACCCTGATGTAGAGATTCTCAGTCATCCAGGTCATGGTTGTTCCAAAGACTCTTTTTTGTTTTCAGGAGGCAACTGGACTTCCTTGGGTTTTTTTCCCCCCTCACAAAGATGTTTCCCTGCTCATCCAAGAAGCTTCTTCAGCTCTGACAGGATATTGGGGGAGTGGAAGGATCGATATTCCTTGCAGGAATACAGTAAAAGCACCCAGATGTCCAGATGTCTGCAAAGAGTATCAATCCTTCCCTTCCCCACCTCAGAACTGAAGAAGCTTCTCGAATTCCCTTCCCCCACCATCCCCTCAGAACGGAAGAAGCTTCTGGAATGAGAAACAAAACGTCTTCAAAAAGAAAAACGAAGAAAGTCCAGTTGCCTGGGGGGGGGAGGGGGGGCAAGAAAAAAGAAAAACCAAGAAAAAAATCAAACCAAGAAAAAAACCAAGAAAAAACAAAACGAAGAAAAAAAGAAAAACCAAGAAAGTCCAGTTGCCTCCTGAGGAAAAAAAAAAAAAGCACCTTTGAAACTTCCAACATTATTATAATTTTTTTTTCCAATGAGGGGAGCGGAGGCGTGGCCTCAGCGCGGGAGGGGCGGGGCGCTGAGGTGCGAAAGTGGGCGGAGCGCCGAAGAAGCGCAGGTGAAACTGACGCCCGGGCTAAAGTTTGCTCAGAAGCGCCCGGCGCTGGACGGGAGGCGGGCTGGGCCGGTTTCTGTTTCGGGGACGGGGCGGGCGTGGCTGGCCGGCGGGCGGGCGGGCGCCCCGGGGCGGGGATGGTTTGAAGGAGGCGAGAGGAGCGGCCGGCGGAGGTGAGCCATGGCGCAGGAGCTGAGCCAAGCGGAGCTGCTGGACTTTCTCTGCCAGGCCGGGGGGCGAGTGGCCAACGCCGCTTTGCTGGGCCACTTCCAGCGCTTCTTGCGCGACCCCCGGGCGGCCCCCGCCCAGCTCCAGCACCGCCGCCACCTCTTCAAGGGCTTCGTCAACTCCGTGGCCACCGTCAGCCAGGACGGGCCCGGCGGCGCTACTTACGTGGTGCTGAGGAAACGGTACCGAGACCTGATCGGGGAGGAGTCCAGATCGCCGCCCGACCACGGCCCGTGGCCTGAACCGCCGCCGCCGCGGGCTCCAGCCGGCCCATCGCCGCCTCAGCCAGCCAGGTGGGATCGCGCCGGCGCCGCCGGGAAGGCGCCGGGAGCCGCTTCTCCCCGGAGAATTCCCGAACCGCGGCGGGAAACGGGTGGCGAAGTGGCGGCGGGCCGGAGGAGGAAGGCCGGCAGGTGCCTTCCCGCCACACCTGGAGTTGGATCTCGGCCTCCGCCTGCCAGCCCCACCTTGGGCTGCCTGGGCAGAGAGAAAAGGGCTCCCCGGCAGCCGCTCGCGGAGCCAGCCGCCCGGGACCCGCCGCTCTTGCGGGAAAAGGCGGGGCAGTCCAACGGCCTCAGTTTACCCGTCGGAGAAATGGGTGCCGGCAGCGTCCAGCAAAGGATTCGGGACTGGATCATTACCCATCATGCGGCTTCCCCCGAGCCCTGCCAGGCCCTGGAAGGAGAGGAAGCCTGCCTCATCCCAGCCTGGTCTCAAAGCTCGGACCGGAGCCGCCCTTGTGGGTCGCTGGGTTTCGATCCTCCGTCGGAGTCCTCGGAGGGCTGGCGGGACCCTCCCGTGCCCGTCTTCCGCAGCATCCGATGCCGGCTTTCCTTGCAGGATTTTGAAGATTACCTGGAGCAGGAGAGCTCGGCCAGCGAAGAAGGCAGCAGCGCCAGCAGGGAGAGCGGCTCCCATCCAAGGGAAAGGGAAGAAGCGGGCAGGATGAACGGCTGCGTTGGAAACTCAGCTGGACACGAGGCACCTGGGGTTGCCCCTCACAGCGATAGATTGGGGGTGAGGATGCCCCTCGCCCAGTCCAGTCAGGACTCCAAGGCTGGCAAGTCCCCTCCTCACATTGCTTTGCTGCACCTTGTGGTTGGCAGAGCTGCCACCATGGACAAAACAGAAGGCAGGGATTTGCTCAAACCGAGGAAGATGGGCAGGCCACCGTCCCCAAATCTGGATGCCCCCTTAAGCCCCCGGTGGGCCCCCAGACAGAGACCCGTGGTAAATGCCCCATCCGTAGAAAGACTGGCCCCTCACCCAGAGGGCCCTGCCGAGCACAGGTCTTCCTCGGTGCCCCTGGACGGTCGAGAACACACCTGGCTGGTGAAAGTTGCCACAGGCTCCTGGATGCAGGTCCGGGCTCTACTTTGCGAAGACCCTCACCTGGTGCTCCACAGGGACTTCGTCTCCGGCTTCACGGTGCTTCACTGGCTGGCCAAGCACGGGAACGCTGAAGTGCTGCAGGACTTTGTCGCCGGCGCTCGGGAGGCAGGAGTTGTCCTGGACGCCAATGTCCGGTCCGGTTGTGGCTACACTCCATTGCACCTAGCGGCCATCCACAGTCACCCCCTGGTCATAAAAATCCTGGTGCAGAGGCTACATTGCCGGACGCAAGTCCGGGACAGCAGCGGCAAGAAGCCTTGGCAGTATTTGAACGCCAGCGCCTCTGGGGAAATATGGCAGCTTTTGGGGGCCCCTCGAGGCAGGACCATCTTCCCAACTCATCCCATCGCCCGGCCGTCCACAGCCACTCCTTCGTCAACCTCCCTGGCCAGGAAAGTGAACAGAAAACCTTCCCTGGCAAGGTACTTGAAACCTCATCATCTGAAGCGGAAACAGGGGTGCAAGTGCTCCGTTTTACAGGAGATTGAGGAATACAGTGATTAAGAACCGCGGGTGTGGCCTTTGGACCAAGACACATTTGGGGGGAATTGGATGATTCAAAGCAAGAATCTCCAACCTTGGCAACTTGAAGACTTGTGGACTTCAACTCCCAGAATTCCTCCTGCAGACATGTTAGCTCAGGAATTCTGGGAGTTGAAGTCCACCAGTCTTCAAGTTGCCAAGTTTGAAGACGCTTGATTCAAAGGGTCTCCAAGGATGTTGTGGGCCCAGCTGGTTGTTTTTTCAGCTCATTATAGCTATGTTTGGGGAGGAACTGGACGAAAAATGGCATTTTATTCCTTGAACGTATTTGGATTTTAATTTTAACCGGGGATGGGGAGAATTGCTTTACACGCCCCGTGTGAAAACTTGGGGGTTTTGGGGTCCGTCCTGCAAAAAATGCTTGACTTCAACTCCCAGAATTCCTGAGCTAACATGTCTGCAGGAGGAATTCTGGGAGTTGAAGTCCACAAGTCTTCAAGGAAAATTCTCTGGCCAATCTCGAAATAACCCTTTTCGTGTCCGTTGCCAAGATGCTGCACTTTAGCTCTTTATTTTTTTCTTGCAAAACAAACAAACAAACAACCTGGTGAAAGGGAACAGCAGCCTGTCTTGAAGGGTGGATGGGTGGGGGAATGATGATCCAAGTTGAAATCTATATTGGCTTTGGAGCATTGGGAGGGTCTTTATGCAAGGACCTTTGAGTTGGGTGTTAGGAGGACGGGAGGAGGGCTGGTTATCCTTGAAACTACAATGCCAGTATTGAAAATGCCATATATGAAACCCAGAATCAAAGAGAAAGTTGTCATTTGCACTTGTCTCTCACCAGCTGTGATGAACATTGTTTTTTTTAACCATTTGCCTTTGGGGACATATTAGAGAGACAGGCGGGCTGGAATGTCTTAATTAGGTTGGCTAACCTCACTGCAAAGAGCTTTAAACCTTCAAAGGAAAAAAGCCCCGAGGTTAAAAGAGACAAATGAAATCCAGCCTACTTGGGAACTTAAAAAGTGACCAACAGAAACTTGATTGTATTTTATTACTTTGTAAGGCCTGTTAATAAACCTTATTGCTGCTTACTTACTATATTTTTGCATCGTGGTGTTTACCTTAGAGGGACTTCCTTGGTGTGTAGCACTGCTACCTTAAAATTAGCCTGAAAGGGAGAGTTTGCATGTGCTTCAAAGGGTGGAGTAGACTCTGGAAAGGAGATCAGTGGGTGTCATCATGGCTTCCCAGCACGGAAAGCATCCCTTTATAGAAAGAACATGTGGAAGGTTTTTTTTTTTTTTGCAGTGGCACCTTGTGAATGCTGGATCCTACATAGAGGCAGATATTTCTCTCTCTGGGCACAATGAGAAAATATCTGCTGAACAAAACTCCACATTGGTGACAGGAAGGGCATCCGGCCAGTAAACTCTCTGCTAGCTCCATTCAATTGTGCAGACTCCACCCTGCAGGGGATTATTGAGTCGTTAAAAGATGATGATGATGCCCTTGTGAATGCTGGAGAGTAGCTGCCCCACAGAATGGTCCATTTAATGAAGATACTAGAGTTTAACACAAATTATAGGATTTGCAAGTGAAGGTCCTGGTTTGGACCCTAGCTAGGATCTTGGTTTAGCATATATGAATTTAGCCATTGTGGTTTGCAATGGTTTAGGGTTTAATTGGTGTTCAAGATGCCATACCAAGGCAGTTTGTGGTCTGATAGATGATGAACCAGTTGGTCCTTGACTTGCAACAGTTCATTTAATGACCGTTCAAAGTTACAACGGCACTGAAAGAAGTGACTTAAGACCATTTCTCACACAACCATTGTAACATCCCCATGGTCACATGATCAAAATTCCTCCATTCGGCTAGTGACTCATATTTATGACGGTTGATGTGTCCTGTGGGCAGGTTGATCACTTTTGTCGCTTTCTGACAAGGTCAATGGAGGGAAGCCAGATTCACTTAACAACTCTGCAGCGATCCATTTAACAACTTCGGCAAGAAAGGTGTTAAAACGGAGGAAAACTCACCTAACAAATGTGGCACTTGGCAATTTTAGGCTCCGTTTGTGGTCGTAAGTCAAGTACTACTTATATACATTTCATACCTGACTTTCAAGATAAACCTTCATTGTGGTTCTCCCAGAATTGTAGCCTGCCAAGGAATTGAGGACAACACGATTTGGAAGGAGAAAGGGTAAAGATAGAACAGTTCTCTAATACAGTTCTGTGCTATCGATGTACTTTGATTCTGTTTGCAGCTGTGGTGGCTATCTCTGGTACCATATTTCATATTTTTTAGCCTATTCCAAGAAACAGAAAAGAAATACATGCCAGAAACAATTCCTCTTCACCTTCTTAAGGTGGTTTGCCTGCGTTGGTTAGCCATGTAACTAGAACAATTGTATCTTTTAATCATTTTGGGGCCTTTTATGATACTGTTGGATTGATTCAGCCATTCTGCTGAAGCAAAATACAGTTTTTTGTTTTTTTTTTTTTTGGTAGGGTCCTTGATGTTCTCTGACCTTGATTTCTTTCTTACAGACTTTTCATTACCCAACTAGGTAACGTCATCAGTGCTAGTCACTTGTATGTCTATGGAGATTCTGAGTCATTCAGGTCATGTTTTCCTTGAAGGAGCTTTTCCAAAAGGCAAGTGGACTTTGTTTTTCCTTGAAGTTGTTGGTTCAGAGGAGAACTAAAGAAACTTATTTGGATGAGAAGCAAAACGTCTTCAAGGAAAAACAAAGTCCAGTTGCCTTTTGAAAAAGCATTTTTGGGACAAAAGTCTGTAGATATTCCCAGCCTTCCAGATCACGATTGTCCCAAAGGTGCTTTTTCAGGACTTCCTTGGGTTTTTTTCTTGGAAGATGTTTTGCTTCTCATCCCAGAAGCTTCTTCAGCTCTTCCATTCCCCATTATCCAGTCAGAGCAGAAGAAGCTTCTTGAATGAGAAGTGAAACGTCTTCAAAGAAAAAACCAAGAAAGTCCAGTTGCCTCCTGAAAAAAAAACACCTTTGGGATAGCCACTTATATATAAACAGAGCAAATCCCACTCCCTTCTTACGCTGATGAAGTTAGCTAGTTGGGTAATGAAATGTCCACAAGAAAATATCCAAGCTCAAAGAGCACCTAACCCCATACAGGCAATCCTTGACTTACAACAGTTTATGTCATGCCTTTGGTAGAGTCGGACTCTGAGGGAGAGGAGGAACAGCCGACAGGGAGTGGTGGCTCCGGAGGTTGTGGAGGAGGCTAGGGAAGGGCAGAGGCTGGCTGGGCAGTCAGAGGAGGACCCTGGCCCATCCCCTCTTCATCCTAGGGCACGCAGGGAGGAACGGAGAAGGGAACAACTTGGCTTACGAGAGAGGAAGTGGCCACGATCCCCCTCATTGGTTGCAGTTGGAGAGACTAGTATATAAGAGAGATAATTACAACACAGAGTTGCCAGAAGCAAAGTGTGTTTTATTTTGGGGCTGAAGTTATCTTGGTTGGTGTCCTTCCAACAGACTGTGCCTTGTTATTCTCCTTGAATTTGGTAATTACTTATCCTGGTCAGTTGTGGAATTTCCTTTATTGTAGTTTGTTTTGGTTTTTTATTTCACCTCTATCTGCTCATTAAGTTCGGACTGTATTGCTTTCTTTTGAAGACTATTTTTGAGTACATTTTATCTCCAACTGAGAATTATTGAACAGTGGGGACAAGTTGGAGGCGTTAAAGGACATTTATTTGCGTTTTGGATTTTGTTATGTTTGTGTTGCACTCCAGGTCATCACAGTTTATTTAGCGACCATTCGAAGTTACAATGCCACTGAAAAAAGTGACTTATCATTTTTCACACAACCTTTGAAGCATCCCCATGGTCACGTGATTTACATTTGGATGCTTGATAACTGATTCATAGTTATGACGGTTGCAGTGTCCCGGGGTCATGCAATCCCTTTTTGCGAGCGCCTGACAAATCAACGGGGAAGCCAGATTCACTTAATGACGGTGTTACTAATTTAACAACTGCAGTGATTCACGTAGCAAATGTGGCAAGGAACATCGTAATATGGGGCAAAACTCAACAAATTTCTGACTTGGCAACTAAATCCTGGGTTTAATTGTCATAAATTGAGGACTACCTGTAATTCAATCTTAAGCTACAAATATTCTCCTCTGTTGGTAGAGTTTCTTTGATTTTTTGGTAGCACACTGGGCGAAATCTAGCCACTTTAATTTGAAAAAATACTAGATTGTAAATTGGCATGTGGAACACTTTAACCTAACTGGAATGGGTTCAAATGAATTCTTTGATAAACAAACAGCGCCTGAGGATAATGTGAGAGCCTTGTCATTAAAACCACCTAAAGGGGATCTGGAGAACAAGGGAATAAAATGACAGGTGCTCAGATCTATCCTTTGCAAAGGACATCCTAAATTAATAGTGACATACTTCTTAGCAAGGGAAGGGTTGATCAACAGGTTTGTTTGTATCTCTTTCCTGCCCTCATAATTTGTGGCCCCTTCCTTCATTCTTGTAGGTTCAGAGTATAGTATGCAGCATTCCAAGTGTGGTAAGGCCACACTTGCAATATACTGCATCCAGTTTTGGTCCCCACGATATAAAAAAAGATGTTTTTTAGATGTCTAGAAAGAGTGCAGAGAAGAGCAACCAAGATGATATGGGGAATCGGAGGCTAAAACATATAAAGAACGGTTTGGTTGCAGGAATTGGGTATGTCTGGTTTGATGAAAAGAAGGACTAGGGGTGACATGATAGCAGTGTTCCAATATCTCAGGGGTTGCCACAAAGAAGAGCCAGTCAAGCTATTCTCCAAAGCACCTGAGGGAAGGACAAGAAGCAATGGGTGGAAACTAACCAAGGAGAGAAGCAATTTAGAACCAAGAAGAAATTTCCTGACAGAACAATTAACCAGTGGAACAACTTGTCTCCAGAAGTTGTGAATGCTTTTAAGAAGAGATTGGATAACCATTTGTCTGAAATGGTATAGGGCAAGGGTCTTCAAACTTGGCAACTTTGAGACTTGTGGACTTCAACTCCCAGGAATTCCCCAGCCAGCATGTTTGGAGATCCTTGGTATAGGGTTTCCTGGCTGAGCAGAGGGTTGGACTAGAAGACCTTCAAGGTCCCTTCCAAATCCTCTTCTCTTCTCTTCTCTTCTCTTCTCTTCTCTTCTCTTCTCTTCTCTTCTCTTCTCTTCT